GTACTGGTGTGCACAGCAATCTGCATTACTATACCTTCATGATTTTGGGGTTCTCACAGTGGCCTCTCACGCTGCCTGCCCTACAACCCTGATATCGTCTGCCACACATGCCGAGGGAAGAACGCCTTGTCTCCTTGATGCCCAATGATGTCCTTTGGGTTCTAACCGGACAGTGCTGGCTAGAGCTGTGCTCAAAGGCGCTCTGGGCGCCTGGAATTACCCCTGAGAACTGACCGGAGTCTGTGCCACTTTGTGTCGGGAAAGTCCAGGTGTCTGGTAGGTGGGGGGGATGATGGATCCATCTAGAAATGAGCTCGCAGTGAGCTTTACCTCCCTTGGACGCTAGGGTGTGCTTGTCCCTCTCTGAGCTGTGCTGAGCTAATGTGGCAGAACACCTTGGTTAGGCCACAACCTCCCGTGCCCTTGTGCCATGCTGCACCCCTGACCCCGACTTGTGCTGCCAGCACCTGTGTCTCCTCTGCGGGGTTTCGGGGTCTGCATGGGCTGGAGAAGCACCAAAGATGCTGGGACAATTCAATTCTTTCAGGGAATCCCCCTACCTCAAAGTTCGCCTGAGTCCAGATGAGGGTGGTGCCCTATTGGTGTCTCCCTATGCCATTGGATTATGAGCACATTTGAGGTGCGTGTTCTGGTGCTGCACAAGGGCCCCTGAACGGGCTTGCTCTATTTACCACGTTTGGTAAACTCCCTGTGGGTGGTGTGGGCATGGCTATGCCCCTGCCCCAGGCTACATGCATCCACTCAATTTTCCTAGAGAGAAATGAATACACTCCCCTGGCTGGCAACCCTCCAGCGTTCACGGGCCAGGCTCCAATCGTGCTTGCTGACCATTCCGGTCCGGCCGTTTTCCCAGGAACAGGCAGAATCGCATGTTGGCTTCCACTTGCGACCCTGCCCCCGGCCCCACAGTCCCGCGGGTATTTCTTGTGATGACCGCCTGGACTCACAGCACCTACTTAAACTTGAAGAGCTAGCCTCAGATTCTGTCTCTGCGCGTAGGACCTCAAAGCTGAAAACCTTGGGTGGAGGGGCTTGAACTGTAGGCCTGTTTGTTATATTTTGTGTGATATGATTTCAATTGCACTGTGGCTGACAGAATGTACGTAATACTGTGTGAATGTTTTCTCTGAGTTGGTGTGTGGCTCCCAGAGACACTGAGAAATGGGGAGCAAACCATGTCATAGCGGTGGGTGATGGCGTGTGTCATTGCAAGGATGTGACTCTTCATCCCACAGTCCGTGATGAGGGGGGGAGGGGAAAATAAAGTTTGTAGACATAAAATGAGGAATGGTGCGAGACATGATACCCAGGAAGGAGCGAGTAAGGAAGCGCGTGCAAGGCGGGGAGGAAGGGACGGGCAGGGAGGGAGGGGGTGACTGGGGTGAGGGAGAAAGGGGGTGGGGGTGCTTTCTGAAGCTCTAGGACTGCTCCTTGCATTGCGAGTCAAGCTGTCACCTGGACTCCGAACCACGTGTCCACATATTCAAGACGTGACTCTTACGTTCTTTGGAGCTTGAAGAGCTCCGTTAGCTTTGACCCATAAATAATCGTCCAATAAAACGGATCTGTCGCTGCCAATTTCAGTTTTCTCAGACGCTATCAGATGCTCGGGACCGCGGGGTGCGACACAGGATTAAAAATGTGGGGGTTAATCCAGTCACCCGTGTTGGGATCGGGTGTGCCCACACCCATACAATTAAGGTCCACACAAGGGCACTTACTTTTTAGTTAGAGTAGCAAGTGAATTGAATATTGACCAGACAAAGGTCTGATGGACCCAACAGGACAGAAAGTCTCTTTCAAATAATAGTTTAAAACGGAACGTGTCTATCCTAAACTGGACTCTAGACGTTTACAGGCTCTTAAAAGAGTTGGACTGTTTCGAACCCTGAAGCTGCAACAGTCAGAAATGTGCCCGGGACAGCTAACTTACAAAACAAAACAAAAACCAAAACAAGAGTCGAAAGCGTGGGTCTTTCTGAAAAGTCTCGAGAATGAGAAGGGGGCGTGGCTTTCACGTAAACCTCTTCATCAATCTCGTGGGGGGGGGGCAAACATGCATCTCTCTCGTTATTCTTGTCTCTTGGGGGCAAAACAAAACCCCCGGGTCTTTCTCATCCTACGTTCGGAGTCTCTTCCTCAGGAGTGGGTGCCCGCAGCGCTGGGGGATGCTGGTTGAATTCGGCAATGCTGGTGGCTGTACAAACTTTGTAGAGAATGCTAACACCTGTTTGAGGTCCTGGGCATTGTGCACGCTTGCGAGTTGGGCACCCGACAAGAAGACCAGAAGAGTCTCTTTGCAGCTCACTGTTGGCATCACAGCCCGTGAATTTTTGCGGACTCCCTTGCCCATTTCCCTCCCCTAGCCAACTCCACCCCAGCTCTCTTCCTTTTCCTTGCACTTTCTGGCTATGTCCCGCGCACCTGCCCCACCCCTTCATCCCCGATCTTTCCTCTCTGCGCTCTCCAGGCTTCTTCGCTTACGCACTGGGTGCTTCTCTAGCTCTCTCCAGCCCTACCGCTTTTTCACACGATCACACGCCCTTGCATTCATCGCCTTTTTTTGTTGTCCCAGAAAATCCCCTTCCGCTTGCTTCAAAGCTCCCCCTCTTTCTGTCGTTTCTGGTTCTCCTCTTTCTCACTTGTTGATGGTCATATACACGGGCTCTCGAAGGCCTTGCATAAAATTTGAAGCCTCTTTACGTGCCTCTACGTCATGACCCTTCGTGTCGCCCCTTCGGAGTTTTTCCTCGATCAGCTGTGCACGTAGCCTCTAATGATAATTCTAAATCATGTATTCGCAACATACGGCCGGGTACTTTACGAACACAACTTCACAAAGGTTTCGAGTTCTCGGAGGATAGTTTTCTGCCATTTCGTCATCCGTCTCTATTGATTAATCATAAGGCATACGCACGTCACCGTTTCTTGTCTTTACCACTCAAACCTGGCCCCGGGAGTCAGCGTCCTGGGCCTCTGTGGGGCCCGAGCTGGGAGGGGCATCGTACCTCTGTTCCCGCTCCCCACGTGCCCCTGCGCTGGCCTTGGCTTACGATAACTTTTCTCAATGTCGCTTCGGTACTTAGATTAGGTCACTGTTTGGAACTAACCCCTTTCCTCTGCCAGACTACACTCTGGTGCTCTGAAAGGTGTGGACCTTCCCACGTTCAATCTCCAGTGAAGGTCTCCCTTGGGGGGGGTAGCCCTGTAATTACATTTTGGATCTGTGCGTTAGTGGCCAAGTTCCGGAATTGAGGTGCTTCGCCAGGACAAACCCTATAGCCCGGGAAATCGTAAAGGTAGGCCAGTTTGGTCTCAGGTCTCCAGATCAGCACTCTCGGAAGAGTGGTTCCCGTCCTGTGTGCCAGTGTGTGGCTGTTCACCCCCTTTAGGTGTAGGGTCCTATTCGTGTGTCCACTCCAAACTCTTCGAGGCCAAAACACTGATGTCGCCTCTTGGCTTATTGACTCCTTGCTGCTGGTCGGCCTCACCCCGTCGTGGGACATTTGCCGACCTCTTGTATTCACGGTAGTTGACCATTCCTACTTCACCTTGCCCTCCCGTTTCGCATCCGCTGGCCTTGTGCTCCCTCTTGAGTTGTGGTCAATCCGGTTTTGCCCATTCTTCTTTCTCTGCGGTGCCCTCAGGTCGGCTTGCAGGGTGATCTCACCGCTGACCGGTAGAATTTACAGGAAGGAATTGGGCCAAGCCTGTGGGGTGGGTCTCGACTGAAAAATAAGCTGACCATCTATCTGTGTTGTGGAAGGGGAGGCAATTTTCTGGCCAGGCCTGGGAGAGGTTCAGTGTCGGAGTGAATCTGTAGAATGTTCTGTGTGACTTAAAGGCGAGACGTGATTGGCAGTTTTCGGGCAGATCGGTCAGGGAGGGGCTCGTGGGGGCTGTGTGCCTTGTTGGGTTTGTGTGTTTGTGAAGTTACTTGACAATGAAAACAAGTGGAAAAATATCCACTTGTGTTTTTTAAAACAACTTTTATTCTAAGATCGCTTTCGGAGATGAAGGAGGGAAAGCACCATCTCTTACCCCAGCTCACAGCCAGACAGTGAGGCTTGGGTAGGATCTTGGGGCAGTTTTCTTAAGGTCTGGATTAGAGCTTGCTGCCCAGCTCGTTTCTCTGTCAGAAGAAGTTTAATGAGTTAGAGGGGTGGACACTGAGGGTGCAAAGAATCTCAGGGAGAAAACTGGCCCAGAATCAAGGCACGCCCATGGTCCACAGATAAATGGGGATAAATGCTCAGTCTTCCACCTCCCTAACCTCTAGAGGGACCAAAAACCCCAGCTCAGAACTGGCTCGAAAGGCATAGATGCATTGGGGGCAGGGGGATGGCGGAGGCAAATAGCTCCTCAGCTAACGAATGTGGGGCAAGGCGAGGATTTTATACTCCAATGATTTTTTTTTTTCTTTAGAACATAGACCATCTGGTGTCCCTATAAATAAAATTCAAAATGTAAATACTGTAAGCCCATTAGAGAGCGGTTTTTAGGTTTTGGGGGGGGAGCACGGGTCAGTTGCTAACCCGCTGCACTGTGGTTGGGAAACATCACCCCACACGTGGGTGTTCTCGGCTCCAGCAAGCCGCCGGCGCCCCGCACCAGCCAGGCTGTGCTTCGTCTAACGAATAAACACTAAAACACGGGTCAATTGTCCTATAGTTATTATGTTGCATGAACAGTTTTAAAATAGCTACCTAAAAACCTTTCTGCTTTCATTTTAGTCATTAGGGGAAAAAATACATTGTGAAGGGAGAACACCGCACTTGCTAGGACCCAAATTCCCGTGCTCACCGATTAAGTCCCGGGACACTCGCTCAGCCAGATTTTAATATCAGGTTGAAAATGCTCTTCAAAAGACACTTTCTGTTTGAGACATGTAAAACAAGCTTTATTTAATAATGCTCAATTTGACTTTCTCAATTTAAATATTTGCTCTGATCAGCAACCATTTGATCCCCGCTTCGTTTCGGGCTGAGGAATAATTTCTCTGGGTTTTTCTTCAGTGCCGGGTTGATCCCAGAGGCCGAGTGGCTGCTCTGGAGTTCTGCGCATTTCTCAAATCTGTGCTGCGAGTGGAAAGGGACAGGCATAAAAAGCCTCTCTCCCAAAGCTGCCGCATAACGTTTGCATTGTGTGTCCTCACATCTGTGTGGCTGAAGATAAATGTCATTTTAAAAAGACTCTTCATAATGGATAATAAGGGAGATTTTATTTTTTAAAGTAGAACATCAGAATGCAAATAAATTCCCAGGAGGTGTTTGTGTTTCTAGATAAATTCTGCTGTGCACCCTCTGCTTTTCCCCCATGCAGGGATTTTTACAAGAACTGTGTGCACGAAATGGGTGGTCGTCCGTTAGCAGTCAGGGATTTTAAGACCGAAGCACGAAGAGGGAGAGTTACTTGACTATTTGACTTCAATGTGTGTTAAAAGAGGGAGCGCCACTGGGATTCCACTAACCTTAGGAACATTTCGGAGATCTTTGGTTCCCGTTATTACTATTGTTCGGATTTTACTAACACGAGATTTTTTAAAACCTTGAGTTTTGGTTTTTATCTTCGCATGCCCCCTTTAGAAAATAGCCACCGTGAAGCCCGTGGCCCTGGTCCCCCTCTCGAGGTATCGTAAAGCCATTCCTAACGGCATAAACGCCTGACAACCTTACTCCCCGATACCAGCCCGGGGTGAGTCGGCCAGTGGCCAGGGTGGGAGAAATGCTGTCCATTATCTAAGCAACCTCTCTACAGGGACTGTGACCCCAGCATGGGAGGGAGGGGTCTTTTGCTGTGAAAGGAGTGTTTATTAGCGCAGGGCCAGCGCCTGGTTTATGCACCCCGGCCGGGTGGAAGGATGCCGCCCCACCCCGCCTGCAGCCTGCGTCCTGGCCTGAAGTGTTTACCGCCAGGGTGATTTACACCATCCAGGTGTGCACTTGGGAAGCATCTCAGCTCCGAGCTGACACGGCGATTGCAGTGGGTTTGCAGACTACAGCATTTTTCTATTCATCAGGGTCCGGGGGCTAAAGACAGTTTTTGTCAATGCCGGTGCAAAGCGGGTTCCTTTCCTTTAGCACCCCGCGGCTTTCAAAAGCGTCTTGCTAAGCGGTTTCTTTTTTGAATGGAATTCGGGGTTCACAGATGAGCCTGCGGTGATGGTGACTGCTGCATTTCTCACCAGCCCCACAGATCCGCCCTTGTCGCGGGCTTCCATTTTAAGGGATGCATTTGTCAGGAGCCACTTTCTCTATTTTGCTCACATTTCACTGCAGGTGATGGTTACTGTTTTGTCACTGGGTTTCCATGGGGAGCCCCTGACCCCTACCTAAGCCTGGCATAATTTGAATGCCGAATTAAAACATGCCCCAAGACACTAAAAATGGCCTTTTTGTTTGATTAAAAACAATACCATATATTTTAATATTTGATCTGTCCAGCTCACCTCCATTTAAAGGAGTTTGGACATTTATTACATATCCATTTTTACACTTGGACTAATCTTTTCTCCAGCCACCTCTTGTACTCTGATAAAGCAAGCAAATGTATTTTTGCCTCATAAAAGTCCACACACACACACACACACAAACGCACACACACACGAGGGTGTGAGAAGGATGCTTGTAGTGAAGTAAAAGATTGTTTAAATTGTGCAAATTTTTACTGACCTTGAAAATGATTTTTTCACTAATCCTGAAAAAAGTGATCCTGAAATTGTAAGAGCTCTTTTCAGCTTAGCTGGTTTTCTCTCCTTGATAAAATTCTCCAAGAATAGTTCTGTTGCACCCTTGCAAGATCAGTAGACATAAACCATTTGGTCAAACACAGGTGGGTTAAAAAGTGGGAACCATCTGATCCAGTTTTGGCAAAGAATACTATTCCTTCTGCTTTGAACTCTACATTTAAAATACACTTTTAAGTCAATGATTTGAATACTAACAAATTGACTTAAAAAGCATTCAGACTTCCCGTTTGAGCTCTTTTCTCCCTGGACTATAAATATGTGAACCTCCCCAACAGAGTAAAAATAGCATTGATTTCCCATGCTACACAGGGAAACATTTGCACCAGCAACAACTGTTTAAAATTACTGGTTCTGGGATGAGGAAAACAAAATGCCAGAAATAAAATTTTTATTTCCAAGCATCAAGTTGAACCCTTTCAAACTATCATGGACTCCCTGGGTAATGCTTTTTCTCTGTTACCTGGCACAGCCTAACATTAAAAAGCAGCATGGAAAACATCACGCTGACCCACAGAAAATCGAAAGAAAAGGACTGAAGTGGCCAATTTTTACCCTTGCTATAAATGGAATAAGTATGTGCATTTGTGAATCTTAATTCTTCATCTAAACATGTTGCATCAACTCATGTCACTTGTGGACACAGACAGATGAAAATACAAGACCACGCTCTATTTGAAAGAATTGCTGAAGATTGTTGAATACTCAAACCCACTGCACGGCCAGTGCAGCTAAGAGCACAATTTAAACCACCGGATTCATTTCTTTTAACCTCAGCTGGAGCTGTCCCAAAAAAGCAGGTGACTATCGAAAGTGTTTTTTTTTTTTTCTTTTAATTCTAAATAACGAGGGATAAAAATTAATGTCATTCTATAGGGTCTGAACATTAAAAGATACGAGAGAGTTAGCCAGGGCCTGCTAAATGGCTAAACAGATTAGTAGCCTTACTTTTCAACATATAAACATCTGAAACCCGTTTCCTGTTTAAGAAAAAAAGTCTAGGTGGATGACCTCCGGCACTTTTTTTTTTTATTAACAAATGTGAATTGTACATCATGGCGGAAAAAAAAAAATGGTCCACGCTTGGTGGTCTTTCTACAGTCTGTATATGGGGAGTCAGGGAAAAAAATACAAAAATAAACGTTACCTTCTCACTTGCAGGGTGGGCAATGCCATTTCTGCAGCCGTCCAGGGCTCTGGCAAATGTTAAGGCTGTCACTGCAGACACAATCCCCATGGTCTGTCTGTGTGCCTCAAGAGTCCGAAGAAAAACATTCCTCGAATTCCTGACGGTTGGTCCTATCTCCAGGCCTTGGCCTCGGCCCTGCAGGCTCGTGTCACCCCGTCAAACGGCCTAGGCCATGGCTAATCTAAACCCCTGCCCTCCCCAGCCAGCCCCGTGGCAGGGTGAAAACTGGGACCAATTTGCTGCCTAAACCCTGAGGATGCAGCAAGTAGATTCTCGACCCTGCAGGACACCAGCTGCGGTTTGTTCCGCAGAAAAGAGCTTAGCGGTTCTGGCACATTCTGACAAGATACATTTTATAGGACTTGTGCTAAAATTTGATATTGGAAGTTGGGATTCCAATTTTCTGCCTCCAGTGATAACAATAGCAGCTGGGACCTTTAAGAAATGTGTGTATGCCTTCTATTTAAGAGTTACATAATAAAAGCTATTTATGTCAAACACCTTATAAGGGAAAGATTTAGCCTAAATGTCAATATAGCATATCATACTTTCTCATGTTTAGATAGGATGAAAAAAAATCTATCCTGCGTGGTTTTGATTTGTAGTATTGGGTCTTTGGGGGGCTTTCAAAATTTTAAGTAAGCATCTCCTTGTTTTAATTTACAAATTCATCAAGGGGCCTTTTTTCAATATTGTTTTTGTATAAAAAACAAATAATGACACATAATTTGGTTTCCAAGCCCTTCTAATGAACGCACACAAAAGGGCACAATTTCACATGGTTTGATTTGGTCTTTGTTAATTCCTAAGCATGCCATAAAAGCATTCAGTGGCCCTTATAAATCGAAGCTGCTTTTGTTTCCTGAAAATGGCTGTGGTTTTGGAGAGGAGCTGGCTGACCAGAACTTTGATAATTCTGATGAAGAAAGAGATCCGCGCTCAAAGAAGAAAACCTTTCCCCGCAAAAGGACCGCAGCTCAGGCCAGTTTAATCTGTGGCTCCAAGTAAAACCTTTCCCCGCAAAGGGACAGCAGTGCAGGCCAGTTCAGTCTGCGGCTTGATTTTGGAGGGGCTTATCCCCTCCAGCTTCCCTGGTGACCCCACAGCAAGCTTTCTGAGGAGGAATCCCACTACCAAATAGACAGTGACTCTTGTTTACACCAGACTTTTGGGAGTGACCACACACAGCCCTGTAAAGTGGGCTTGGTTGGAAAACCCCAGCTTCCTCCTTAGCTTTTCTGCTCAGACAGCAGAACCTAATTGAGATGGGAAGAGAACCCCAGTTAGCAAAAACAGGGGTTCGCCTGCACCCACACGCGTGCTGGTCCAGTCCCCCTGGCTTCCGTTTTCTTTGATGAATTGGACGGTGTGACTACGGGTTGACGAGAAAGCCCGATCGGACGGCGGCATGCCCGGTCATCTGGATGTTCTCTGCTCCTGCCCTGGCCCCCGCGTCTCCCACTGTGGACAGCAGCCCCCGCTGGGGAACACAGGTCATGGGGGGACAAATGGAAACACCACTTCTCCTCGGGACCTGTTGGAACTGGGCGACACCAGCTTAAATTTGGCAAAACGCAAGTTCAGTTTCTTTTGTTCTTTCTGAAGTCACAACTTGAATGTGACAGTTCCTAAGCCAATGCGATCTGAAAAAGAACTCACTACTGAGCTGCTCTCTTCTCACTGTCTGAAAATTGCTTCGGCAATTTCCTTTTCTTTTATAATAAGGGAACCGCTATGCTTCACTTAGTATTTTCTCCCCATTTCACCACCAAATACTAGCACTTACGAAAGGATCCCTTGTGTCAATTGCCAGGCCGTCTCATATGTTGAATTTTAAATATGTTGGCTACGTGATGATTGTCGGAGAATCAAGCTCCAGGTCAGGACCAGGAAGTGCATCTAGTAGACGACAGCACGAATATTTACAGTAAAAATGGGCTGGACCAGAGGTTTCTACGGTGACTGATTTAAAACACTGGCTTTGTGTCCTGTGTCCCATCCGCTAAGTGACACTGATGCTATCCTTATCTACACTTCACATCAGAGGAGATGAGGGAAGAGTCAATTTCGTAAGGGGAGAACATAGCAGATGAAGCTCAGCAGTAAATATATTAATAACCACCTTTACGGAACTACTGCCAGATGCTGAGCGTTTTCTACTATCATATTACATGTGGAAAGACTTATTTGACCCCCACAGCAACCGAGGAGGAGGGAGTATTATTAGCTTCATTTTGTAAATGAGGAAACTGAGGCAGAGAGCTGCCAGCCTATCACTGAAGACCAGACTGCTGCAGAGTGACAAGCATCAGAGTCTGGAGCCCAAGATGGGCTGTCAGCTGGCAGAGCTGAAATAACAGAAGATAAGAGCAGTGAAAGGCCAGGTCACGCCCAGGGTCACCCCCAGATCACCACCTGGGGGTGAATTCTGAGCCTTAGTTTGCTCTTCTGTAAGTTGGGGAGAGCAATGGTCCCTACGTCACGGATTTTTAAAATTGGGATTGCATAAAATAGAGCCTGGAAAGTGCATGTCCCATTGGATGTGCCCAGCAAACACTAGGTGTTGTACCTGTGGTCTGGGCTGGCCACCCATGTGCCAAAAGTTGATTCCTCTCAATGACCAGGGTCTTGACTGCAAGGTTTACTCCGGGAATCCATCTGAGAACTTTAGCCAAGTTGTCAAATGCCTCGATAGCAAGGTGGCTGAGGGCAGTATCATGCAGTCCCAAGCAGCCAGGACTCAGCCAGGCTGCCCTGTGCCCAGCCTGCAGAGGCTGTCCACAGATGCCCGCAGGAAGGGGACGAATTACCGGGTGCACCAGCCCTCCAGGGAGGCCAGGTGTAGAGCCCTACAGAGACAGCTCTAGGCCTTGCCGCTGAGTCTCTGTCCTACACACAGTGTCATCCGGGGGTGGCAGAGAGCACCCAGTCAGCTTGCTAGTCACCCACCAGCCTTTCAGCTGCCCTGGCTGTCCTCTGGTTTCTGTTGGGTCTGTTTAGAAGGCAGACTCCTCAGGGTGCTTCCTCCACACTCTTCAAAGTGCCCCCACCCTCAGCCTTCAAACATAAAGTTGATGGTTGTACCATGAGGCAGGAACAATAAACAGCTCTGAAGCCAGTCCACTGAAGGCCTCAAGGTTCTGACAGCTGGCCGCCTGCCCTGCCACAGAGGCTGGGCAGCACAGGGCGGGGAGGAGGGCGGTGTTGAGAGCTGGTTCAAATCCTGCATCTGCCTCCTGAGCTGTGTTTGCTCAGGAAAGTAGCTTGCCCTCTCTGCATCTGGTTTCCCTGTCCGTAAAATCATGGCAGGCACGGGCAAAGTGCTGGCTTGCAATTGTGAATAAATACGGATTATCGGATTGCTATTTAACCCGGGCAATAAAAGGAAAAATATGTGGAGAGCGATAACTCTTAAAAATGGGGTGGCCACCCCCTAATAAAAGCTAGAAAAAAACAAATTCCAGGACATGATGATTTGGCAAGGTGCTACATAGAAGAAATTCTACCATCGAGAAACGGTATGGTCCACAGGTTTTCTTCCTGCCTTCTTCCTTTAATTACTAAATAAAATCTTCAGTCATTTAAAAATCACTGTAATATAAATATGCTGTTCCCAGTGGCACTAGTGTATTCTTATATTTCAAGTATCTATACATTTGTAATTAAAATTAACGTTTTGCAAATACAAAAAAACTTGAGAAATGAAGCGATAGGATTGTGATTGAGTTCTTTTCTGTGATGTCTTTTATTAGTGTCTTACATTTTTTTTTAACTCTTTCTGTGGATTTATTTCCATAGATGCACAGTTGGAATCTTGATGGAGTTTTACTATTTTCAGATGGTGAACAATATTTTAACCCAGAACTATATTCCTCCCTGTTGCTGGGCATTCACATTGTTAAATGTATCTCTGTTAGAGGATTATTTCACCCATAGAGCTTTCTACGATATTTCGGGTTATTTCATTGGGACGGATTCCCCGTAGTGATGAGAGTTGAAGGCTATCCATATCAGATGATCTGTGATCAGACCTCAGCGTCACCTGCTAAGGAGCCTCCCCTTGAGTACATGAAGTACCTGTGCTCAGGCAGCCCCCATAGGTCAAAGTTGAGTGGAAATAACCCCATGGATGGGTCTTTGCCTCTGACTTGAATCTCGATGAACTTTTACTGGGAAGTGGAGTTCATGAAGATTGTTTTAATTGTCACAAGTTGTTTGGGGGAGAATAGCTTTATGGATGAGATTACAATTAAGAGAATTGTTTGCAGATAATACAGAGAAAACATTTCTGCTAATTAATAACAAACCTTAAAGGGAAACACCCAAATTGCCGTGTTAATATAAAAACAGCCAGTCGCCAAGCTGCACCGTGTCTTAAACCCCCCCTGCATTCTCAGTAGAGGGAGGTTCTTGGAGCCAAAATCGGACTGCGAGGGCTTCGAGGTGCCTTGGAATTCACCCAGCCCAGTGGCAGGCTGCGAACCCCTGGGGCTCTGACTAACAGGCAGGTTCAGATTCAGCAAGTTTGAGTGGGGCTGAGGTTCTCGTCAATAACCAGCACCAGGGAGGCCAGGGTAGCTGGTCCTGGAACCACACGGGGGGACCGGGGCTTAGAACAGAAAGGACATGGATTTCGTCTGTTGGGGGTAGCGGCTTCCTGAAGCCTTGTTTGAGAAGGATTTGGAGCAACGGATCTTAACTTCTACTATACTTTAGAATCACCAGGGGAAGGTTTTTAAAAGCCTGTGTAGGTTGCACCCCCAGTTAACTGAATCAGAATATTTGGACGTGAGACCCTGGTACCAGGATTTTTTCAACGCTCCCATGTGATTCCAACGTGCAGCTGAGGCTGAAAACTGGTGATGTTTTGTTATGCCTGGGCAGGAGGGAGAGCTGAAGGAGGGACTGGTGAGGTCTGCCGGGAGGAAGGCGGTGGCAAGCACTGCAAATTCGCTGTCACTGATCTGAAGTTTGCGGGGAGTTAACAGACTTAACCAAAGTCTTGACTATAGTGGAGGTAATATAAATCACATAAATTTAGGGGGTTAGAAACTCCATCTTCAGGCTTCTCTTTTTCCCCCGCTTTATTCCTTTTGAGACAAGGTCTCGCTTTCAACCAGACTCTTCACGCAGTGGTGGTAAAATCACAGCTCGTTGCAGCTTGAACTCCTGAGCTCAAGTCATGGTCCCACCTTAACCTCCCAAGTAGCTGGGACCACAGGCATGTCCCACCACACCTGGCTTTTTCCTTCTGGCCTCAAGCAATCCTCCCACCTCAGCCTCCCAAAGTGCTGGGAGTACAGGTGTGAGCCACCGTGCCCAGCCAGACTCCAGTAAGAATTCAAGATTGACACGGACCAGTAGAGGTCCCGCACTTGAGGTCCCTATCATATTTTACTGATTAGCCAAGAACAGTTAAGCAGGAGCCTGGCATTGAAGTTCTGTCTCAGCAGTGGCGGGAGCCAAGCCTGCTGAGGAAGAGACAGAGAGGACTAAGCGATGGCTGGAACTTATCCCAAAAGACAGATGCCAGTCTGGGAAGGCTGGAAAATGGGATGTGCTCAAGTGAGCCCCACTGTCTGGGATCCTGGAAGGTCACAGGAAGGCTTCAGACCATGGCAGATTGTCCAGAGGACAGAGTTAACCGATACCAGCAGGTCAGGGCGTCCACATCAAGAACATGATTTAGGAATCTGGTGGTTTTCTAAATACACTGAGTTGAAATTAGAAATGTGGCTACCTCTGGGATAATCTG